CCGCCAAAAGACTTAGCTTTTTTCCGACTTTGTTTTGGTCCCTTTTAAAAGCGCAATAACCAAAAAATAATATCACTTAAAAGACTTGTGTTTTTTTTCCGGTCGCTTTAAAAGTGCAACTTTTTAATCCCAAAACAATTTTCGCGCCAATGGACTTAAATGTTTTTATTTTTTTCGCTTGAAAAGAGCAAATTTTTATTCCAAGGCACTTTTCCTGTTTTTTCCTCCTTTCTTGAGCTCCTCACGTCTTACTTCAACCTGAAAGAAAAAAAGGTCAAAAAACATGTTAATGGTACAAGCTTCAGAGTAATTTGCACCGCTACAATAGACCAATTTCGATATATTAAAATTCAGCCTAACACAATAGACCTCAGCACGAGGCTCTGGGGAATAAACCCTACAAACTCTGTAGTTATTCCCCAGAGCCTCGTGCTGAGGTCTATTGTTTAAGGCTGAATTTTCACATAGCGAAATTGATCTATTTGAGTTCTTTTTTTATTTGCATCTAGCCATATGCTATTCCCTTTCAGTCCCAAGGTTAAAATATCAATTCTCCTGACGCGTTTCATACATTCCTTTGATGACAGTTATATATCAAGACAATACATGTACATTCTCTAGGATCATGCTTTTCCTTTATACAAGGACTGGCCGCTATGTACACCACTTTGATCAATCCATTCATTCTCTCTACTAGTTGCCTTACTTTTCCTTTCATAATTATTGTTCTGTGAACTTGGTGGTAAATCAAGACAATGTCTCTAACAGAAATATTCATATCACTTTCTACACTTGTACTAGTTGTCATTGTTACGTTAGCTGCATGAAACTGGTGACAGATAACCCCTTGATTAAAGATATTTCTCCAAAGGTATACCTCAGTTCTCTGCCATCACTTATTCCAGCGGGAGCTATGACAAATGTCACCCTCACAAAAGAATTAAACTTGCTTGGTTTCAGTATTTTAACTTCGTTGTTTGTAATCCATGTTAAGTCTTTCCTTTTTAGTGTGTGTATCTAATAACCTAACATTTGACATTTCTGGTACGTTAACAAACTAACTGCCCCTTTATTGTTTAAATGCTGCTAGTTGAGGTCTAAACTCGAGTGCAACTATCTGACAGCAGAGAATCCAACAGTCTTGGAAAATAATCAAGACTTTTAGAATGCACTTTTATCAATAACAAACAAGAGAGAATCTTAAAGGTATTTTACATGCAGGTAATTTTCAACAGTCTTGTGTCAAAAGCATAAAAATTGATCAAATTATTTTGAGCAGAAAACATAGAACAATTTTTTCAGTCTCTTTAAGAATGTTGCCTACTAGATACAAAGGTATTTTGCCGGAAATCGAGCTATGAACAAGTACAACCATGTGGAAAAAAAAGATCACAACAAGGGCTATAAGCCTACGGGAATCCTAGAAGAAAAGTGAAAAAAAGATAAGTGGGGAACAAAAATGCTGATATCAATATAGTTTCTAAAAAAGAAGAACAAAAATTTTTCTTCACAGATTTCCTTAGAATTCGCCTTTACATACACAAAAGCAATGTTTATAAAAATCTTTAAAATGCATAGCAAGTGGTGACACAAAATCACCTTTCCTATGTAACTTTTAATAACAAAAAAATAATCGTAACAACAGCAACATTAATCTCTCTCTGCTAAGCAAAAAATACAGTCTACATAGCTCTTGCACACAACAAGTTAATCACATGTTCAATAGGCTTAAGCTAAACTAGTTGGTTTCATCTTTTTGAAATCATTTTTGTAGTCTGACATTTTTCTTGTCACATACCCAGTAAATCACAGATTTGCATCTCTCGCAATAATTGTGCAATTATTGTTAAGCGCATGCACCATGGCCATGCCATCTTCATGTAGAAACTTACAATTTGATTTCAGTGTAAATATGTTCTAAGGATTAAGTAGCTACATGTAGTTCTTCAGCAGTTAGTGGTTAGTGTAGCAGGCAATCGTTTTCTTCACTTCATAACAGTTTGCAATATGCCAGCTGCTATTCTGGTGTTCCTGGTTTTGGCACATTTTCATTAAACATTTTTTTGGTCACAGACGGAAATTTTTTCTGATATTTTAGTTGTACACTTAGTAGCTTAGTTGATTCCACCAGTTTCAACCCTAGCACATTTGTGGCATGTAATCCATGAATTGTGTGATGCGCAGAACGTGTGGGCACTAACAGAAGTAGGCATTGTCCTTAAAAACATTCAAGCTTCCACAATCAGCTGTTTGTTAAAATAATAATATCATGGGTGACCAATTACTCCTTAATTTTGGTGCGAAATTTCAGCATTAATTCATAATTTCACATGTGAAGTTACAAAATTGCTATGGCAACATCTCTTGTATCTCGATCAGTGTTAAGATGACGTCGAGATTTAAGATGGTGACTATTGAAGAATTTACGGAATTAAAAGAAGTGGCAGAAAACTTAAATATGCGAAGAGCACAATTAACTGGGTGAGGGTTTTTGAGAAGTGATGTGACGAAAATAGCCTTGAGAGAAACCTGGAGATGAATGTTCCTGAGCATGAAGTACTCGAGTGGTTTTATGCCTTCGTGTGTGAACAAGACAGAACCGATTACGAACCTGGGTCTCTAAAACTGATTATCCAACCACTCAGTGCGGAAAACGGTGGTCAGAAAGCTGAAGGCCAAGGGAGTTTCAAAATCCGAAACAATAACAATAACTGGCCATCGACAAGAACAAAGTGTTGAAGCCTATGACTCCGGGAATGAAGATGAGTAGCAACAACTGTCTAACATCATTGATGGCAAAGAAATCCACTTTAACCAGACAACCAGTCGAGTTCCCCTTCAGCCACTAATCCAGCCCACTGCAGCGATGAGCAGTGGCCACATCTACAATTTCCACAACTCACGGTAATGTGGTGATAAACCAAGGACATGCCGGGCAGGCTAACGCTTTGTGTACAACAAACCGTGATGTACAATTTGTCTGCAACCATGCTCCTTGCCAGCTCTGAGGGTTTTTCAACTTTGTACATTTTCACTTGACTTTTATTTAGGCAAGTTTTCTTAGACCATAAAGTAAATTTTTAGTGATAATTTCACTTCCAAACAAACTGTCAAAACTTCATATGGCCTCGTGCAAAATTTTAGTTTCAGCTCATTTCAACGGACACCATTGTCATTTCATTCATCAGTTCATGACGAATTAGAGCCAATCATTTAAGAAAGATTTGACAGTTGCCTTAATTTTGAAACATTATGAAAAAGTACGAAGAATTCGAAAAGTATTTTTTGAGAAGAAACTCAGAAAATTACGAACTTTAGCAATAATATATCAGGGTTCCAGATAAGTTTTCAAGGTATGGTGTCAATGAGGAATTCCAATGGGTCAATTTCCAATGCTCCCACCAAATCATCACAAATTTTCTAGTAATTTGTCGGGTCATGTTGCTGACCTTGTCAGGTTTTTGACCTGAGACCCCTTGCTTATCTGGAACACTGAATGTACGCTTTAATTCTTCTTAATGTTCTTGGTTTTCGATACAATAAACCAGTAAAAAAGGTTACGGTTGTGAGAGTAATTTGTCACCCAAGATATTAAAAGGTAATCAAATGGTTTTCTTGTGAAATTAGGAAATAATTTCACACGTGTTTTGTGAATTTTGATAATTATCAGAATTTTCACAAAACACGTGTGAAATTATTTCCTAATTTCACTCGTCTCCATTTGATTACACATACTAACCTTTGTATGCAGTTAATGTTATATGAAACATTCATTAAGATTCTACATTCCTGACCGACAGCATTAACTCTGAAGGCGCCAAACAGATCTATTCAAAATTACAAACTTATCTTGCAGAGAAAGCAAACAGCTATCAATGACTGGTTTTATATCAAATTCAAAACGTTTCAAAATTTCTCTCAGTAAGGAGAGCCGTACAATTCTATTAAATGAAACATGTGTACCAGTTCTGAGAATTTGATGGTGGATCAAAACAATACGCTGTATCCATTAAAGTTCTGATGATTTTCTTAGTAACCTGCTTGGTTGATGATATATTTGTATTAATCAGAAATTACGGTTTTGATCAGTCCTGGGTTAACCAGGGATAGGGAGAGGGCCTGTGAGCTAACCTCAAAGGTGTTTATAACTTTTTTTAATATTAAAGTAAAAGCTGCCAAACATTGCGCTTTAATCTGAAAATTTGGTATGTAAGACATCTCAAAATAATTCAGTTATGGCATAGCTGATAGGTTAAATGTAATATTGTTGCAACCAGTGGTCATTAAATTATACAATTTTACTTGAGCATTCTCTCCTGTGAGTTGGCTCACTGTCTGGGGCTTGGCTCTAACATGGATCTTGATTAGGTTTCTAATGACAAATTTAGGAAACCTATCACATCATTCCCTTTCTTAGCCTTTCCTCTGGTATCACTACAATTAATCATTATACTTAATCAATATTGAAAACAAAAAATTCAGCTCTCTACGGAGCTGGTTAGAAACTTCAAAACGATTAGGAAGGCAATTTTGCATTCAAAGTGTAGCTCTTTCATCCAAAAAATACCACATGAAAAATTTTTCTTAGTACACTGACTCTTCTTTTTTCAAATTTAGTCTTACTATAACTTGAGTAAGATTCAAGAAACGCTCACTTTATTAAAAATGATCCTGTACAAAACTAACAATGTGTCACCATGGTTGCTATGGTAAAATACTGGTGCTGATGAACCAATGACACTATTTTCAATTTGGTGGTGTAAAATAATAAAAATTGAAGGTTCCCTTACAATGTACATGAAAAGTTTGGTTATGAAAAGCTATCCAGTTAGTCTGATTGGCATAGCTGGTCATTATTCAAGAAAATACCTCAGTCCAAACTTTTCTTGAAGTTGTAACTGACTCAGCAATGATCACCTAACTTTGCTTTGAAATGACACAAATCTACCCATCCCACCCTTACATTTCCCCCATGGGATGAAAAAGTAGTTCAAAAGTGCTTTTTAACACTTAATGTGCTGTGCAACGATGAGACATATCCAGGACAATGTTGTTTTGTGCTATTGTGTAAACAAAACCATCATTTTTATTGCAAATTATTAGATTCAGATGAGCTCAAATTTAGGGAGTGAGAGATGAGCAGAAAGAAATCGAGGATAAGCATTATAATTATAGAAATAATAGAAATTCTAGATGTACCCCATACTGAATCTATTGGGCTTGAAATATCAATAAAACTGCCTTATTGACAAACGTTTTAATACTTCTGAAAAAACGTCCATGACCAGGTCAGCAAAAGCAATCTTTTAACCAATTATAAATTAGGTCAGCGTAGCCAATTGTATCGCATGCTTGCCAGTATGTAGCCAGCGACAGGGTACTGCTAACAAAGACCACAGTCATGTTTATTGCTAACAAGGAAATCTGAACTCACCAAGCTATGATGCATTGAGTTTCTGTTCCATTCCTGCTTTTGTGACTTGTGCTATCGATAAAGCAATCTTCAGTAAGATCATCCAAAAAGATGCAGAAACTGTTGAGAAAAACAAATAAAATAATTTATTTGATAAAAGCTCTTTTGCCCAGTATCAGAACAAAATGAGATCTGTACAGCACCAGTAATGATTCCCACACTAGACATGATCACCAAAATGAACCACAAATGATCCTGAACTGAAAATGATACCCAATGTGTGGCCTACAAATGATCCCACAGAAAAAATAGGAATGACAGAGTTTTTGTAAGCAATAAATAGTTGGCTACTAGATCTCGAGGAAGTGAGTGCTATCCACCTCCCAGCTTGCGAGGGTCATAAGCAAAATGGTTTCTTCGAGCTGCTGTAAGCAAAGAAGAAATTTCAGCAGTCTATGCAGCTGTCCCTGCTATTATCTTCTCAGACTCATTAATAATTCATCAAGTTAAAACAAAGAAAATCGCCACTGTGATGGCGGTTTGGATACCTGGTCTTAATAACCATATTACTTTGATGATTTTGCTTCTCTGTTTACTCCTTAGTTTTTGTTTTGATTAAGAAGATATGTCAAATACTCGAGACAGAATTTCCTCCGCTATCCAAACACCTCAAATTTTGTCAAAAATACTCTGCTGCGTGTCGTATTTTCAACTCTCTTCTTGGTGTTTGGATATCGCAATGAAACACTGTCTCTGGTGTTTACAGTCAAACTGGATGTTCTTTTGATGGGAACTTTGCAAACTTCCGCTGCAACATTGGTATTTGATTGACAGTTTGAGTCGAGCAAGTTGCAATCCATGCGAGCAAGTTGCTATTGCTTTCGTGCTGTTTTCAAATATCATTTGAAGAGCAGTTTGTGAATTGAAATTCTTACTGTGGCTTATGATGTCTAACATAATTTTATATTATAATTGTACCACTATGTTTGAAAAAGGGGAGAAAATTATTGCCCTGTGGATGTCTGGTTCAGAACAGGCACAAATCGCAGAAGAAGTTGGAGTATCGCCTCAAACGGTATCCAATATTGTCAACAAACTCATTCAACATGGGGACGTATTTCCCTGGAAAGCCTGGTTGGAAGGAACGAACACAAGGCAAAGCGTTCCTAAAAGCTTCAGAGACATGTAAACTGTCATTCCTGTCAATATTGATAAATGTTTGCAAAGAAAGATCTTTGTATGATATTATGATTTGCTGGTTGTCAAGACCTTGAAGAAATAGTACAGCTTTTTTCACCTGCTTGATCTTGATATTTGCTCTGTGTTTCACCCACGTAAAAACTGGCAAACCTGTCTTCAGAATTATATTGAAGTGACATTTGAAACATTTTGGAAAATCTCAACAAGTTCTTGCTACGAGGTACCAAATGAACTGAGCAACTTGCTTGTGCAGGTTGCAACTTGCTCGACTCAAACTGCCAATCAAAATACCAATGTTCCGGCGGAAGTTTGCAAAGTTCCCATCAAAAGAACATCCGGTTTGACTGTAATGGAATAAGGGAAGGGAATAAGTATATAACTAAATTATCAATGAACCTCACTTCAAATTGTTTTTATCTAACTGCGAGAATTATGTAAGAGCTCTCAAGTTGATTTGTTGCCAAAGAGTGAGATTTTTGACAGCATAGCCATTGATTGTGATACTGCAGGCATCACCTTTCTAGGGGAGTCTGGCGGCATGTCCCCTAGAAAATTTTGAAAAATTGAAGTAGCTAAGACATGTTTTCTTTCATTCTGAGCGGCTCTGCACAAGAATTCCTACTACAGGAAAGTGTCAAAGGAAGCACAAAGCAAACAAGTAGTGCATGATATCCAAAAAGATACATAGGTACTTGACTAAAGCAGCAACGAACCTTAAATGTGTGAGAAACAATAGTTTCAGCATGAGTGCGAGACTGAATTCATTTGTGCGTGTCTCATGCTCAATGTATGAGACTTGAGAGCTCTGCTTAAATCATCTTTGGTATATCACAATTGATATATTATTGGCCAACATTCCTTTGTAATCGTGTTCTATTGGATCTACTAGATTGAGCATTATGCTTTTCAGGGACAAAAAAAAAAGGAAAGAAAAGAAAATGAAGAAATGCCTGACGCCAAGGCTTTGATACAACACCCTCACCAAGCTACATGTATACTTGATTAAAAACTAAATAAGACTGTCTTTTCCAATTTCATCACTCCCATGCAAATAAAGAGGAGTGATTTTCTTTTTACTACACCTTGAAAGGGCTCAGGAGCACTTTCTTGAAATTGTTCTTGTTCATAAAGAAGTTAACACTATGAAATGCTTCCAACTTCTCATTTTGGACTTGTTGGTCTTAATTTCCAGTAAGGTAAGAGTCTTTCATGTGTTATCCAATCAGTGCAATGACTGGATTTTGGACATCATTATGGAATTGTGCCCATCGAAACACGTCAATTGAACATGTAAATTAGCTTCCAAAAAAGTTAACAGGGCATGCATAACTAGAAGCAGAGATGCTGAGAGATGTATATCAATGTCAAAAACCATTGTTCCTGAAATTTGCCTGCGAAGCCTCGATCTATTCATTGTGTAACAATAGACATAATTAGCAAGGTCATTTTGATTTAACTGCTATTGTTGAGAAATACATCACTTAAATTTAATAAACACAAGAGCTTTGCATAAACAAGTCCATAATAATATTGTCAATCAGACCAAACGAATAACCTTTTCAGTTTGTCTAGAGATATTGGTGAATGTATCACTTGGTTCAAATGCACAAACGATATTGCCAAATTAACAAACAACAGAAAGTACGAACAAATGCGGACCTAATTACTTTCTTCAAAAATAGTCGATACAAAATACCAGAAAAAAAAATTACAATTTACTTGCCCTTTTCACCTTAGTCCTTCTGTGAGATCCAGTTATTTACCAGACAGCATGATAACAACTGGCATATGCAGCGCTTGAGGATACTTGACAAATCAGTGCCAGCAAACCAAAGTGATTGCTGTTTTCCTTCTCAGCGGGATTTTCTAAGTGACAGCCATTGCAGAAAACATCCATTGCTCTCCCTTCTCTATTTACGTGAACATCAAAATCAAAAAAGCTTTTTAAACTTCTCTCATGACCGTGTATATTTCCATACGGTTTGTGTTTATTTCCACGTGGCAGTCGCTTGTTGTGTCTTTTGTAGTGAAATATTTTTTGCATAGTTTTGCATAAGCGATCTTTGTTTCCTTCACAGCTAACATTGATCGAAAACAAGAACATTTTCACACTTTTTCACAATACTAATTGCTCTTGTTGTCTCCAATGGACTGAGGGGGAGAATTATTTAACTCCCTTTTGGGAGTTCTGCTTTTGAAGTCAAAGGGAACTGAAGACAGCTGCAAAGCTTTATGACGCACAAAATATCTTGCGTACCCCACTTTTTTCTCCTGAAGTGTTTCAATGGGTGCGATTCCATAATGACACACCAATCTGTGAAGCCAATCAATACCTATGTGTCAGGCCTTCCTCCACTTCTCTTCTCCTCCCCTAACCTATCCCCTAAGGAAGGCCTGGTGATACTCAGGCAGATTGTTCTAAGGAGCCCAATTCTTCTTGCTTTTCTGAGGATTCTTCCTTCCATAAAAATATTGAAGATCCGATACCAGGATTCATTATAAAAGACGTAAAAAACGTTCTCTGGTAAAATTGTTTAAAGTTGTGAGCTTTCAACAGCCAGTCTGCTGTCTTTGACGGACAAAAATGAAATGATAAAATAG